TTTACCTCACTGTCAGAAAAATACCCATTTGTTTCGTTCACCCAGGACTGTCTGACACATCCTTTTGTTAACACATTGTCTCAACGTGATCACCAGCTTTTGCAGAGGTGTACTCAGAATCTATAAATCTTCTTTCAGAATGTTGTTGCTGCCCTTCACTGCCTGACAGGAAGGCAAAGGGCTGATCTCAGATGGTTCATGATGGACTTGAGTGCCTAAAACCTGTGGGTAACAGTTATCCTTTCAGTCACAATGAGAGTATGCTCACTTCGCTTGGGATGATGGAAAACTGATTTCCTTAAGATTTAAAAATGCTGCTGCAGTGGCTAAGTCCATAAGGAGGTGGCACTGATGCTTCTCACCATGAACTCCACAAAGACAGTCTCTTAGCACACTGATGAGTAACTAACAAAAGCTCAGAGGCACAAAGAAGCTCAGTAATTGTCCCAGTTGGCTCACCAGTCTTCTTGTGAAATCAGGATCTCTGGATAATGGCAGAAGCTCAGATGAAAAACATGCTTTCAGCAGGGCTGTGTTTTCATTTTGGGCAAAGCTGGTGATCATATAGAGTACAACCTGCCTTGAGATACATGATATGAAGGTGATATGATTCCTTCTGATTTAGGAGACCTATGATACAAGTTGACTTATGTGAAATCTTTCGGTGAGTCGCAGCTTTACCATCTCAAGTTCCACATGAGCAGCTCAGCCCAGGTCCTGTACTTCAAGTTCTTTTGCTTCACAAGGAGCCTGTCCTGAAGATGGTGACCCCTTTACCTCCGGAAACAGCTTCACAGTCTGTGGTGCTCTGCTTCAGAGCAATCCCACCTGTGACATCCAGCATAATGTCTGTGGGGCAGGAGCAAAGATCCAAAGTGAACCACAGCACACAAGAGTAACTCTGTGTGCTCCTTGCACACACTCATCCTTGTGAGAATGTGTGTGCAGGAGTGCAAGTGAAACCAGTTTTGATTCAGTTTTGTTTGAGACTCAAAGACTCTCCTTTCCTAGGAGGTCTCACGTGGTGGCCACAATGTCACCTCAGTATTTCCTGCACAGTGAGCAGGGGTGACACACACTGGCAAATGCTGCACACGGTGAGGAGGAGGCAGGGCAGGGCCTGAAATCCCTCTGCATTAACAAGGAATGTCCTTGGGACAGGAGGCACATCCCAGGTGAGCTCTGTACCCAAACCCACAGCGCCTTCTCTGCACACGCAGCAGTCGGTTTGATGAACAGGCAAGGAAAATCCATAAACAGAATGAAGACCAAAAAATGAGAGAAATATGGTGATTTATAAGAATACATACAAGGTACAGGCCATCCAGGTAGAGCTCTCCAAGTGAATCAACTGCTGACTCCTGTGAAGGAAAGATTTTTCATAAAAGCTGAGTTAGGCCAGACAGATCCCTGGGGCAGAGGACACAGGCTGGAGGGAAGTAAGAGAGGCAGAAAAGGTGACAGCAGAGAAGATTGGAAAAGAGAAAAATCCTCTGGAGAGCTCTTCCCTGTCACCTGGAATGACTGAGGTCTCCTCAAGAGAAGGAGCTCTCTACTTTGCAGGAAGGAGACTGTAAGATATTGTAAGTGGAAGTTATGCCAAGTGACTGCCTCATGAATCTCATGTAGAGAGAGTAGCAGTGGGAGATCACCATCAGCACACAACAGAAAGACACTGCCTCCTGAATTAATAACCTGAAGCAACTGTTCTGCTTCAGGCAGCCACAGGAAGATGCAAAATTCAGATACAGCTTGCATTTTCTGGGTGTTATTATTTCAGATGAAATTCAAAATCAAAGCAGGCAGAACAGGACATACTCAGAAACTATTCAAACACTGCATGTGGGACTTGCCTTTCCCCACATTAGGTGCATTTAAAGAAGGCTCAGAGCAGGTATTCAGTGTACACCATGAAATAAGACATGAGAATTAGACACAGAGTTCTTCTGCAGACAGGAACAGGAAGAAAGAAAAAAGAATAGACTATCCCTTCCACAGCAAACCCACACAGTCTTTGTGTCTCATAGGAAAAAGGTTTTACAGGAGAGCAAACTCACATCTCCTTGAGCTTTTCATTATCTCCTTGCAAGGTTGCCCTGCTGGCAAAACCACTCATATCCCAGCTTCATGGGAAGGGAAGCCAAAGCACTCCCTGTGACACCAGCCATGCAGTCAGGTGTTCCTTCCTCCTGTTCCTTTGTCCTTCCCCAAGCTGATAAAGGACACCAGCCAGGCCCACCCCCAGCTCACCTCCCAGAGCCCTCCTGACCCTTGAATGTGCACGAGGCTGCCTTTAGCCATGTGCCCTCACTTGCCTTTGGGACACATAAATCCAGATCCTCCCACAGACACGTGTGCACCTCTCCAGCCTCCTGTTCTTCCTCGAGCACACGACACTTGTGTCTGCAGCATCCAGCTTCAAGCACTGCCACGTGGGTGTGCAATAAGTAAAACGTACAAAAGCTGGGTACATCCACTGCACCCCCAAGCCATTAACCAGCCCCCCAGATCCCTTCTGCAGGGGTGCAATCCAGCCTCCTGTCCCCAGTCCATAGGTACATCCAGGATTGCACTGTCCCAGGAGCAGAATCCAATATTTGTCCTTGCTGGATCTCATATGGTTGGTGATGCACTCACATCTACCAAGATTTCTTTAAGGCCTTTCCACTCTCAGGGCACTCAGTGCCTCCTGATTTCGTATCACCAGCAAACTTCCTTAAGCATTTACTCAGATCCTGAGTTTGCCCTAAAACTGAGCACCACTGGTGACAACCAACCAGCCTGATGTCACCCATTGACTACAACTCTTGGAGCCCAACCCTGCAGCCAGTTATTCCCCCAAGGAAACAGAGACAGAGCCACCCCACAGGTTTGAGCTGCAGACCCTGTTATAGCACTGCCCTGGGGTGCAGATACCACCAGTGGGTATCTCCAGAGTTGAAACAGGGCAATAAACACCTGGGCAGACATGTTGTGTATTAATCTTTCAAGTTGGGGCTAAATGATGAATTAGAATTCATTAATTAGGGCTGTCAGCTGCCTTGGTTTATGGGTCAGGTTTCCATAATCTAATTCTTTCAAACTCAAATCATTTCATCATTCTCTCATCATAGAAACTGCTGGTTGTGAGGAAATGAGGCAAAATCCCTTCTAAATCCTGCTGTATCACAGAACAACACCGTTGCTCTCTCTCCCTTGTATTCCTTTTTGGAAGAGTGTGCCAGTTGCCTGATACCACATTGACTAATAGGAGTGAGATAAGCAGCTGTTTGCTGTTGATAGATGCAATATTGCACATACAGCCTCTGTGAGCAATTAAAAGGTTTATTTATTGCTATCTCTGTAGTGTGGTTTAAGAACTCAAAAGGTCAGATACGGTGGCAACAACGACTAGCTCATATTAATTAGATGTAATTATAAAGACAAGTTTAAAGAAAAAAAAATATGAGCTGGGATCAGCCTGGTCACCAAGAGAACACTCAAATATTTGATAAAAGTGAGACTGCATATCTGGTTTGATAAGCTCGACTGTAGGCATTATCACACATGTGCTCTTACAGTGAGGAGAGAAGGTATTAATATAAGTGAAGCCTGTAGCAGTCTCTATGGTTACAGCTAACATTTTCTAATATAAGCCATTGTCTTCAGATGCTTAACTTTCCATGTTTCAACTGCTTAGGCTGAAATTTTCCATCACTGCTCATTGTTTCCAGGTGGATTCTCTAGCAATCAGGTTAGCAAATGTACTGGAGAATTCTAGCGGATTCTCATGCTGAAACAGCAATTGGAAATCGGGCAGGGACTCAATATTATCATCTGTTCCCATCCTCTCCAATTTACCCCGTGGCTTGGTGACTTTAAAAGACTCAGCAGATCCTGCTGGAGGTTTTGTGCTGAAATTTCCAAATGTGGCATCTGCTGTAGGTGGATCAGTCCCTGCTGGTCACCAGCACACGCTGCCAGACCCACTGCCCCGTGCACAACCCCAGAGCCCCACGGAGCTCACACGGGGCACCTCAGCTCTGCCCTTCCTCTGAGGGCTGTCCCCAGGGGCTGAGGGAACAGAAGCCAGACTGAATTTTGTATCTGCAGCTCTTCAGCCGAGCAGGTTATAAATAACCGTGCCCCACCTGCTGTAATTGTGGCAGTTTCCCCTGTGCGGGGGATCCAAACACCCCGGGGCAGAACAGTCATTCTGCAGGACACCAGTTCTGTGGAAGAGTTTCTGGCAACAGCCCCCAACACTACACTCTGAGAGGCAATTTAAAACCTGGACTGAAGACCTTTTCTTAGAGCAGCCCTGTGAAAAGGAGGTATCCAGGCTTGTCCAGCTCCCACCGGTGCTGTGAGGTGCTCTGTGCCATCACCTCCATGAGTGCCCTCCCTGTGCTCATCCAAACCATGGCCAGGGAGGGAAAGTGAATTCTGTGTGCTATGCTTTGGGTCAGAGGAGCCAACAGGTTCCTGGATACACTCAAAGAGGTTCTTCAGTCAAACTGGGATCTTAAACAACACCTTGTTCTTCCTGCAGTGTCCTTACCCCCCAACACTTTTCACGTCTTTTTCCACCACTTTTTCTATCTGGCACAGTTCGGGTGGTTGTTTGCTGAGTTTAAATTTTGTGAATCACAGAACCATCAAGTCCAACCTTTGACCAAATACACTCATGCCCACTAAACCACACTGCAAGTTGCCACATCTACTTGTTTTTTGAACACTTCCAGGGATGGTGACTCCACCACTTCCCTGGTCAGGTTGTTCCAATGTTTAATCACTCTTTCAATGAAGAAATTTTTCCTAATATACAGTGATGAACAGTAAAAAAACCCACAAAAAATTACAATTGGTGACCTTAAAAACCAACCAACTGTAACCAACTTTCAAAAAAACCCCTTTCTAATACACAGTTACTCCTAGATATCCCTGATTTCCTAATTAACACACTTTACCCTGTTGAAAGCATTTCCCAGCTAACTGGTTGCTGTTCTTGTGCATTGCAGGTGTCCTGTGGTTATCAGTAGTTTCTGAGGTGTTGTACATCATGCTGTTAGTCGTCGGGTTCAGCCTTATGTGCCTCGAGCTCTTTCATTCAAGCAGTGTGATAGATGGGCTCAAGTTAAATGCCTTTGCTGCTGTCTTCACTGTGCTTTCAGGTATGAACCTTCCCTTCCCCTTTTACCTGAGGAGCCACCACAAAGCAAAATCCTATAACTTTGAAGGGATAAAAACCCGAGGCTCCAAGACTTTCTTATCCCCACTTAGTATCACATTTTTCACTGTAATTTTTTGTTCCTTTTGGCACAAGGGACTGCGTGATAAATTTGCTTTTGCCAGGGAGAAGTGAAAATCCTTATTCCTGAATTCACAACAGCAATGCAGTAATTATCCCTCCCCAGCCTGCACAGCCATTACCAACAGCTCCAGCCTGAGCTCCATTTGCAGCATCATCACACTCATTTTCCAATAGGAAATTAAAAACACGTAGCATTGAAAATTCTTTTCCCCTGTGCTAATCCTGGGAGTAGGTGAAAGCTGGATTCTTCAAACCAAAGAAGGAAGCCCGTCTTGTTCATTAGCAAAATTGAGAATGAAAAGGGTTCTAATAATCACACTGAGGAGCAACCCCAGGAGTGATCTGGGGACATGTACATCTCTCAGAACAGCTGTTTCAGGGTATTTTCATGCTCAGACTGTACTTGGAGCCCTTCAACACATGAACTTGAGGAATTCACTTCTCTAAAAGAAGTTATGAAATCGAACCATGTAGTTAAGTGCTCCTTCACTTCTGTGAAGATTTGCTGGCTAAAAACCCTCCAGGATTTATAGAAGCAGCCACAGCTGGCTCGTGTAGAGTGCTCCTGCGTGGACCTCTTGAGCAGAAAGAACTTCTGCAATAAAAGTGCACTTTATTCTGCTGCATTTCAAGCTGAAAGACATTACAACAGGCAGTGTACATTCTGGGAAGGAGCTTGTATCTTCAGGGGTAGCTGCAAATCATGAAATAATAACACGAAAAAAAAGATCAGAAGTAGAGTTGAGATGACAAAAGAAATCTGGGAAGAACTGCCAAAGCGTATTTTTCTGCTTTGGATGTAATTTGGATTTTTAAAAAAAAAAAAGTCAGTCCAATTTTCAGAGTCAAACTCTGTGGAGTTCTTCAGCATTCAAGCAATTACTTCCATGCTGTTTCTCTCTTTCTTCACCATTAACTGCAGTTTTAAAGTTTTGTAAGAATGATGAAGTTTTCTTTCCTACACATCTTTCTATTTTTATTTTGGCCTTCCCTCTTTTTAAGCACATTGCCAAGATGGTCCAAATATAAACTTTGAAATTTTACAGGGAAAAATGATAGAAGAATAGAAAAGAAGCAAAAAACCCCCAAACCCCAACACACTGCTAGCTGTTATTTTTCCATGACAGGGATACCTGAGGAAAAAAGAAAACTATATTTATTTAAGCCTAGCATATTTATAATGACATAGCTTAATAGAAATTAGGTAATGAAGAGGACTTTGCACTGGAGCATAACACCTCTCATTAAATTCATGCTAGAGTTCCCTCGTAAAAGTGCAATGAGACCTTCATATTTTCATAGCTCAATATCTAAAGGTTAGAAAAAACTTCCTAATAGTGTAGTCATTTCTTGCTGTTCCTTAACCTCTTAGGAGCCCTTAAAGAAGACCCCACAACGTCACAGTTTTGGTATCACTCTTAACCTTTCACAAATTAAACAATTTACATGTCTCTCACGTAATATTTATGATAAAGCATTTTAATTAATGTGATATATTCCATAAATGGCATTTCTAGTAAAAGTATCTGAAAATGCTTTAAAATATATTATCTTTTCCCAATTTCCTTGATGTCCAACTTTCCAAAGTTCCTTAGTCTCTCCCATTACTGACACCTAGAAACAGCTCTGGTCCTGCAAGGCTCATGATCTCAAGCCAGCTATAAATGATCAATGTTTCTGCACTCCTACCCACTCCAGTCCACCACATTCCCAGGATTTTCCATCTGCAAGCTGTAATGCCCTGGACCCCAGGTGGGTGGGCATTACAGGCACTGTGTCCTCTTTGCCCAGCCTTAAGCAGCCAGCTGGAGGAAAAGATGATCCTGTAAATACAGCATTTGTTGATTGATGTCACAGGCAGCTCATTGTAGCCAAAATGTGACCTTTCAATATAAAACAAAAAGGACCATAGGGTATCCCTGTGGAGAAAAAGGACCACAGGATATTCCCTTGGAGAACTTGGCAAGGCACATCTAACACAGACCAAACAAAACCAAATGCACACAAGACAGCATAAAAAAAGACTTGTCTTGTTTTGCTGTAGCTTGTACAGAGAAAAATGGCACCAACAGCACCACCAGGTACAGATCAAGCCCTGACCCTTCCCAGATAAAGCAAGGAACACCAGAATTCCACTGTGGTTCCTGTGTTCCAGCACAGGACTTGCTGATGACCTCCCACTCCCCTGTATCAGTGGACTGTCATCCCCCCCTCCCTCAAGGGACAGGTCTGAGCATTGCTGAAACCCCATCAAGGCTTTGCACAACAGAAGGGAGCAGCTCGGCCTTGCTGAGGGTCGTCCTTGCCCTGCCAAACCTTCCCCTGGCTCTGAGTGACTGTGACATGTCTCAGGGCAGGCTGTAATGTTTTATTTAAGGTTGAAAAATCACTGACAGTACGTATAGAAGCAGCAAAGCCCAAACTTAAGATCGAGGCATAACTGCCAGCTGAAGAAAAATCCATCCACTCAAAAAGTATAGCAAGGTCCCAGTGCATTTTGGAAATTAAATGAAGTCAGACACGAGCAAGGTGTGCAGCACTTTGCTGTGCTCCCGCTGGGCCACCCACCCTGCCCAAACATCATTTCTCCTGAAGTGAATTGCTCTTTCCACCTCCTATCTTTGCAATGTCACTCCAATACGAGGCAGCTGAGCAAATCACCACTGCTCCTTGTAACAGGATGTCTTCTTTCAGCCTCTGCAGTTGTTTGTATCAAATATGGCATTTGTCTTGCTCAAGGACCTGCTTAACATGCCCACAACACAAACATGACATTCCCACACTTCCCTCCTCCAGAGCTGCCCTGAATCATCCACGTCCGGAGAGACTAATGAAGTGCTTTAGACTCTGTAAAGGAGCAGGAAAGAAGAGCCAAAATTTGGGTATGGGGGTGTGGGAAATCAGGATCTTCCACGTGTAGGAAGGGCAACCATGGAAAAAATAGTGGTCAGAGATAAAAATGGATGCTGACTTTGGTTAAGGTGCAAAGTGTAACGGGAGACCTCACTGTACCCATTGTGGCAGAACATCAGTATTTCTTAGTGCCTTGAATTGCCACTGCAGCACAAGAGGCTTTTTGACATCTGTAGGTCCAAGGACTATTTGGGATGTGATGACCCTGCCCCCTTTCTTTAGCTGACTGCCTGAACCCACACTTTGCTGAGCTCAGTGGGGAGCATCGCTCTGCACTGCCCGGGTACTAAGGCAGGAACATCCCAAATTGTTGTAGCCAGAAAACCCTCCAAGCATCAGAGCTGCTCCTCTGCTTGAAAAGTGGGGTTTGATTTTCCCCAGAGAGATGTCTAAACGTAAAGCTCAGGCAGTTTTTTCTGCTTAAGCTGCAGAAGCAGCTCAGTGGCAGAGCTAACTCAGGCCACCCTGTGATTTAACTGCAGGCCTGTTCTTTAACATCACAGAGGCTGCAGTGTCTAACACATTGTCTAATCTTCACCCAGTTGCAGTTCTCTCAGCACACTATAACAGTGTCACAAAAGCATCACCAACACTGTACCATCAAAAGTATCCCCCTGGTGTCCTCTTACCACACATCATCAGGAGCGCTGAGCTCCCCTAACTTCCTTGTGTAACTTCCAAGTGTTTTATAAGTGTTCAAACTCATGAATCTTAGCAACTGGTGAGACAAAATATGGTAGTTTGGCATTAACACATTCAGTCTGCATTGCCTACAGAAGCCTCTCTCCTCATTCCCTCACCTGAGGCCTGTCTGTGATGGGCTAAGTGAGATAACTGGTGGGTGGCACACCCCTGGTGTGCAGCAGCAGGGTTGGTGGTGCTGCTAATAGTGCAACATTTTCTTCAACGATTTTCTTTCTCTGACTCCTCTTTTAATTGAGAATTCAGTATGATGTAAAATAACGAGCTCTCAGTCACATCTTTCCTCTGCCCATGCAGCTCCCTCCTCCACAGCAGAACAGGAGGCATAAAAGTACAACAAAGACTTTTTCGGAGCTCTCAAAGCACCTCCAGCAGTAACTATCTCATGAATTGTAACAAACATTAGCACAAAAATTCCTGTTATGATCCCTGCTTCCCAGGTCTCTTGGGGATGGTGGCACACATGATGTACACTCAAGTTTTCCAAGTGACAGTCAGCCTTGGGCCAGAGGACTGGCGACCACATTCATGGGACTATGGATGGTCCTTCTGGTAAGTGTCACCTGCTTTTCTTTGAGTTGTTCCATCGGTCTGTTGGGAGATTGTACGTATCACCTCCAATTGCCAGGAACGTGCATGTGAATTCCCAGCTCCCAAAGTGCCAGGAGAAGCACAAACCCCCAGGGCCGTGCAGTTCTCGAGGTGTGGAGGACAGATATCGGCGGCTGTGCAGCAGCAGCTGTGCCTATCAGCAGGTACAGAGCATTTGTAAATAAACAGCACCCACAATTACCAACACAGATTGAGCACTCTCATTAAAGTTCAATTTAGGTACATAATTGCCATGGCATTTCAGAGACTTTTAGCTCTTTTTTTTTTGGTTTTTAATTAATGTCTCAGTTGAACCTTACGGTGCAGCTTTTAACTCAACTGCAGAGGAAGGAGCAGCGCTGCTGGCACGGTGATACTTCCCTGCAGATCCTGAGGAGATGGCTTGGGAAAATGGACTTGGCTTTTTTTTTTTTACCTTTCCCATCTATCTTTTAAAAATCACATAAAAATAATTTGGCCAAGATACATCGACTGTGTTATGTTGCTTGCAAGTTTATAAGAAGCTTAACAAGAAGAGGAGGCTGTGGAGAATAAAAATACCTGCAAACAACATCACCATTCCTCTAGAGGCATCAGCTTCTTTGGATGGATAGGGAAAATACTTTCTTTTTGTCATTTCTAAATATAGTACATTATTTTCTTTCCATCTCAAAGCAGAGACAACAACCTTTGCTAACACCAATAAATAAATACAAATACTTATGCACAGCACTGCAGGGGATTATTAGTCTTTCCTTCTCCCCTCTTTATTCTGTGTTTCATGGGAGGAGTTACCAACATTTTAGCAATATGTTACAAAATATAAATCACATTATATTTAAAATACAGTTTATTTTGTGTCTTAATAATGAATATTTATTGCATGTGATGATAAACTTATAAATACACTGCATTCATATATTTATAATATTTATATTAATATTTATTAAAAACTGTCATAATAATTGTATAATTTTCAATATATTTAAATAATAAGGCATATTTGTCTTCAGTAATCTATTTAGCAATTTACTGCAATACTCAAAATTCAGAATGTTGTTAAATGTCTGGAATGATAAACACTCATTAGATTATTCTCCTTCATCTTGTTCTAGCCAAGAACCCCCATGTCTCAGAGCTGGTGGGTCCCACAGGGCATTCTGAGCTCTCCCTGGACCCACTCATCCCACCCACGCTCCAAGCCAGCTGCTGGGAGCCCAGTGTCCCACGGGGATGGAGCTGGAAGCTCTGGCTGCTGTCCAGATCCCAGCCCTGTCCCAGAGCAGCTGCTGCAGCCTCTCCCTCTCTCTCCCCAGGCAGACACAGATTTAAGGGCCAGGACTGCCCCTGGGTCAGGCCTCACTGTGGAGGACTCTGGAGATGCCCACAGGCAGGCAAATATGTGAGAGCAACCTCCTCTCTCCCCATATTCCTGAGGTGGGACCTCAGCTTCCCTCCTCACAGTGACTGTGGGGTCACAGCTGAGCTCCACTCCTGCTCTTGCAGTCACAAAACATCTCCTCAGATTTGGTGGTCTCCTTCCCTCCCCTGATACCTTCCAAGGCAAGGCATTTATCTGTGCAGGATGTAGGGCAAACACAGCTCAGCCACAGATGCCTGGGAGCATTTTCAGCCTGCAGAGGTGCTCAGCAGCCTGAGGGAGACCATAGGGTCTCTCACACCGTGCCGGTGACGGATATCAGACCTGGAAAAGGGAGGTTGGGAAGTCAAATGCAGTAAAAAGAAGGCTTCTCCCTTCCAGCTAACACTAAGCCACCACTGATTTACAGACCAGAGAGCTACAACCTCCCCTGGCATCACCCAGACTTAAACACCTTCTTTAAGAAGGGTTGATAAGAAATGCCCACCCAGCCTGGTGGAGTTTGAAAACATGTAGGAATTAATTTTTGCTCCATCTGGCTTCTAGTGATGTCCTGAAACAGGAGTTTTCAGTACCCCTGGACCAGTAATGCGACCACCAGCATTATTTCCAGCCTGCTGCAAACGTCCCACTGCAGCACCTGGTTACAGGACCTGTCAGAGCCCAGAGGACTGGAACAGCACTGACAAGTGGGGCCAGGGAACATTGTCCCCATGGCCAAGAGCCAAAGGATCTTGGGGATCCAGACTGCCATCCCTTTCCCAAGTGCCAGTGGGGAAACTAACTTTTCTCTGACTCTCTTTCCCCTCTATTGAAAGAGAATGATAAAAAAATGCTTCTCCTTAAAATGAGGAAGAACTGCTTGTGATCTACACAGATGTCCCAAAATTGAAAATGCACTGCTTGCTTCCCGTTATCCTGCCCCATTCCCAAGCCATTGGGAAAGCCTGGAGGTTGGTCTGTGCTCTGGCACAAGCCGGGAGTGGGCCAGGGGATTCTCCTGGCAGGGGGTTTCTCTGAGGATCAGTGGATGTTCAAGTTCAGCCCCTGTAAAGAAAATAAATATAAAAAACTCGAGGTGTTTGAGCCACAGAGGAACTTGAGAGCCCAGCCCTGAGCTCAGCTGCCAGAGGCACCCCACCACATCTGGGACACAGCTGGCAGGGAGGGGCACTGCTGTCAAAGAGGTCTTCACCTAAGGCAGGGTGTAACTCTTACAGCTGGGGAACCACTCTTTACACCTCAAAATAAATAACTTTTAACCGAGGTCCATAAAACCTAAACCAGATCCATCATAATTGCCTAATTATCATGATTTACCAAACGCCAGACATGAAGAGTCTTCACTCTGTATTTCCTTCTCTGAACTTTTCAGCATTTCTGAGTGCATGATTAGAAATCATCAGAAACTTCAAAAAAGGAAAATTTTCCTCCAAATGTCATTCCCCAGGCACAGTAAAGCATGTGGTTTTCGCTGGCTTCTTCCTGGGTACTGCTTAGGAGCCCAGCTGGAAATGTTTGCAGCTGTTGGAGCTTTTCCACACACTCCATGTAGGAGGAGGACACATGCCAGGACGGGAAGACACTGTGCCTGAACAATCACACCTAGCACGAGTTCCCTTTCCACTTCTTCACCCAACCATGGGAAACCTGAGGGAACTTTGTCACCCCAGGGGTCACTACATTTCCTTCTCATTTGGTTGCATCTGGCAAATGGGTCCAAAAATGACAAGGAAAGAGCTGCCTCCACACGTCTCATTGCCTTGGGAGTCCCTGAAGGACTTGGTAGGAGCTGAATTTTGAAATCATTGAAATGAGCCATTTCTGTTTTCTTGTGCCATTTCTCCCCTAGATTTTTTTTTTCAGTTCATGAATATGTGTTGTTTTTCAAGTTTTGTCTAATTTAAAATGAGAAGCTGCTTCCTTGTCTGCAGGTCCTTTGCAGAATGGGAAAACAGCTCATGCTGAGAGCAGTGTTGACAATACGTGTTTATAAGATAATGCTGCTGGGGCTGTATTCTTTCTGCTCTGCATAATTCAGACCCATTTATTATAGAAAAGGTGAAAAAAGCAGCAGGTAAAGTGTGTCACTGTCACAGATGATGAAGTTAATCCGAGTTAGTTAGGAAGCCACTGTGAACTCTGTGTAGCCAGAGTTGATGGGCTGAATGTGAGAGTCAAGGGGAGCCAGAAGACAGAGAAACTCTGCAGACAAAAGGAGGAACTCAGTGTCTTTTTTTATAGCCCCATTTCATGCTCAAAAAGCATCTTAACTCCTTGAGGCCATGAGTCCCTCCCAGCCCCATCTGAACTTGAGGTCAGTGAGGTGCAGGGAGGGCAGAAGAACCTGAGGGGAAACCCTGTCCTCAGGCAGGGAACAGAGCAGCTCCCAGATGACTCTCCTTGCCAGGAGACCCAGCACAACACTTGTTTAACTTGGTCTAGTCATTTTTTTCTTCCATTTTCCTTCTCCCTCTGTCTCCTCGTGCTCCTGGTTGGTACTTGCAGGTGTCCTGCCCCTGGCTGACCAAGGCACTGCCTACACACTGGGAGGGTCAGTCAGGAAAGCCTCAGGTTGGGTCTCTCCACAAAATGCAGATATCAGAGACGAAATATAAGCCAGAAATGCTATAAATGTCCAGGAAAGAAAGAATTACAGTATTTTGGTGAAGGTATAAAAACCAGATTAGGAACCATCCCTGCAGTAGCACTGTGCAGTCAGTGTCCCATGGATGCTGGAGAACTTCCACTGCTCTGAAAGACATGATCTATGGGCCATTACTCCTTCCAGGAGTATATGGATTTTAGCACTTGTCTGCAAGGCTCTGAGACATTTCAGAGGGAAATAAGGAGATGTTTGGCTCTTCTGTCAGAGAGCACCCAGTGTTCACATTAACACTGTGCCATCTGGTTCTCCATGGGGTGGGGGTTGTGCCCAGCCCCTCTCCCAACCTCCTGCCTGCACCTTGAGCACGAGCCACAGGTCATTTGAGGTGAGACGAGAAGAATGGGTTTGTCACCTCTGACTTCCCTGCCTGGTCTCATGCTGTGTATGTGTCTGTGTCTCTTGGCATCAGAAATATAACATGAGCTGCTGTGCTAACCCAGCTCTGCCTGCTGGTTTGTCTCCCCACAGTCTGGCCTGGGGCTCTTTCACCTGCTGCATGGCAGCCTCTGTCACCACCCTCAACTCCTACACTAAGACTGTCATCGAGTTCAGACACAAGCGCAAAATCTTCGAGCAGGGCTTTCGAGAAGAGCAGAACTTCCTAGACCAGGAAGCCATCAAGTACTTCAGAGAAAGGTCAGTCACTCCATCAGGGGAGGTTTTCATGGGCTCTGCTAGTCCCAGAAAATGCAGGCTGTCACCCACTGCAGCACATGTGGGTGAAGTCTCCGAGATACCTTGAGAAGGTGTGTGTTAAACCCAAAAGGTTCTCCTTGGTTTGTTTTTTCATAAGTTTTGTGATGTCCCAGTGCCTGCCCTCTCTTATATACTCATTAAACACAAGACTGACAAGTCCTTACCACATGCATCCAATTCATAGGGATTCACAAGAAGCTGTGCTGCCAATGTAAGCTGATTTTCCCTCTTTGGAAAGGTAAAATTGTGGGGATGCAACAAATGTGACAGCCATCACTTCTCAGCACATGAAATAGGCACCTCCCAATAATCCCAACAGCTTCTGAGGCACTTTCCAGCCACCACTAGGCCACTTTGGAGCTCCCATTTTCCACAGTCACATGCCTAAAACCCATCCCTGTCTCCTCCACACAACCCATGCTCTGGAGCTGCTCCACACAAGTACAGCGTGTACATGACAAGGCACTGCAGAAACACCCACACAGTGCCACCCACAGTGCCACCAGGGGCTTGGAGGCACCCAGAGTCCTGTCTGAGCCCCAGAGATGCTCTGTCTCTCTGCCCATCACCACACCCTGCCCCACGCACTCGCAGCTGGCCCTTGTGGCTGCTCTGGGACATTTGTCACCCTCATCCTGTGGTGAGAGACTTAAGGCTGTGGAATGTGAAGAACACACAAACCTGGACCTCACAAAGCAGGGAAGGTGTGATGGGCTCCAGGTTTTGTACCTTCATAGAACGAGAAGCTGATCAGTGCAGCAAACCCTCACCAGCAGTTTATTGCTTGAAGTAATGTAAAGATATTTTGGGGACAGAAGGCACAAGGATCTATTCCTGTTTTTCTGACCAGTGTGGCAGTTTCTCGCTGGTGGAAGGGGAGAGAAGGTTTGCAATGATCAGCATTTCAGCAGCAAAGTGAGGATCTCTTCTGAGAGACAACTAGAGACCTTCCGTGCTTATTATTTTGTCTTGGTTATCCTGTTGTTTGTTAGTCTGTTGTTACAGTTATTCCTCTGCTAACTTCCAAGATTTCACTCTACCTTTCAAACAGTCTGGAAGGAAGAGAGAAATGATCCAAACAACCGTGGTTTGCCTAATTTTGCATTTGAAGACGACAGTGAATCCTAAAAAATTCTCTGTATGAGAAAAAAAAAGCCCAAACTCAGTGAAGAGGAAGGGGTCACCATGTGCCTCAGGAGAAATCAGCACCCAGGGAGGGAAAACAGACAAATTATTGAAGTGAGAATTACAGATTAGAGCCCAGAAGAATTATAAGGAACAACATGTTGACTTACATTGAGATATGCTAAGGAAATTTGATAAAGTACCACTACTGACCCTTCTGGAACAGTAAATAGAAAAAAAAACATCAGTAGCCTAGAGGATAATAACTTTTTCTTTCACATGGGTGTTGTGGGTTTGATTTTGATTCCTCTTGCCCTCACCATATGACACAATTTCGCCCCCAGCAATTCACTCCTTGGCCACATCCCCCCAGCCCTTCCACACACACTTGGCACACACAGCTCAAGCATGTGGTGTTCCCAAACTTCATGATTATGACTTTCTTTTTTTATATCACATTATTTTAATTGTTGTATCTGAATACATAATAGGAAGCCCAGAGTCAGTGTTACCATGGGATCATTCTGGAAGTTTAAAGCTGTGCAGCAATATACCAAATTTTTTTTAAAGTCATCAGATTCATGATCAGCTTCACTGGTGTGACCTGGGAATACTTGGACACTACAGGGGGTCCAGGGATCGTCCAGCAACACCCTGTTGCTACATGCTGTGGGTGCCCACAGTCCCACACAACTTCCCTTAGCTCCCATCTGCCTTTGCACAAATAGAAAATAAAATAAGTTCTCTTTCCTTCCTGTGCATATACCCAGGGATACTTCACATTCCCTCCTACTCCTCCACCTCCATGTTCCTTTTCATACCTCATGAATAAAACCCTCCAGCCTTTCTTCCTTCCAGTTACTTTGTACATACCATCACCCTTTTTGCACGTTCCTTTGCCTCAGTGCACATCCAGCACCCCGTGTGCACACACATCCAACCTCTGTTTTGGATGGACTCTGTGCAACAGGAAAGTTAAAGCATGATTATCATTGTAGTTATCATTATTCCCAACAGCCACATTTCTCATCTGGGAGACAGGGAAGAAAAGTGTGAGCTCCATTTTGCCTGTTACAAGTTTTTTGTTGGCATGTTCTTCTACAGGCCCCTGCTCCCAGAGAAGAAATTTGCTTTATGAAAAGTACTGACAGTAAAACAGTGCTAATCTTGCAAATGCTTTCTCGAACATAATCTCATTGTATTGCACTTAATTTTAATTGTATGCAGCTTACGAGTTACGAACAGAGACAGCCAAATTCTTTGCCTGCCTGCACCCCAAGGACACAGGCTCTGTCTCTCCACAGCCAAACATCCCCTTATTCCTATCACTGGGAAAACGTTTAAACAGCTGCAGAAAAATCAAAGATTCATAGTGTTATATGCAACAATCATTTCCTTCCCAGGCCTGGGAGACTTCAAAAAGTCAAGACAAAAGAGACACTGTAGTTCACACCATAAAATCAAAAGATATTAGAGCTCTTCAGATATAACAGGTACAATAGCCTTCAGGGTAACTCTGAGAAATTAAACAGGCCAATTATACAGACTTGGAGGGATTATTCATGCATTAAGTGTTCTATAAAATGATCAGAATTACCTACAATATGTCAGCTTTCAGTCTTTGTCCTTTTATTGCTTGTCCTTTTTTGCCGTTTTTCCTTTGAACTGAATATTTGTCTAAAACTTTTTCTCACCTTTTTCAGCTTTTTTAGTTTATTAGGTGTCGGTTCTTAATAAGTCTCTCTCTTCCTTCCCTCTCAGTTTCTCTTTCTGCCCTGTTTCACATGAATGCTCTTTGCCCATATGGGCTTGATCACAGTCCCTTGTCTATGGTTCACCCCCAGCTGGCAGAGGAGGAACCCTCACATACCTCTCTGCTTTCTTTGCTCTAAGGATCCCTCCAGATAAGCCAAAGGGACAAGGAAAATTCATTTTCTCCTACATAGACTGATAATCTGTGACAATCAGCTGAAGGAATGTCAACGTGCCAGACCTTCTCCTCCTCCCCTGCCCAGCTGTTTAGTAGCTGTGGCTGTTTTAGCAGCTTTGTCCATATGGCTGTGTAATAATTAAGACACATTCACAAAAATTCTGCTCATTTAGACCAACTGGCTACACCAACACTATAATCACATCCATTCAGGCAAGGGCCAGCACAGCCAGGTTATTCACATGGAATGTCTTTTCCTAAATTTGTCCTCAGTTTCTTACCTTCCTTTTTTCTTATATTAAAAAACCCCTTTCAGCCACTCGCCTCCGACTTTCCCTGCTCCCAGAATTCTGGTGGACTTTGATTTCAGGTAAAGAATGCAAACTTCCCTCTCTGCTTCTTTGGTGTGCTGGGGGCAGAAGGTGCAGGTGGGGCAGATGGAGACCCCGGGCAAGAGTTACAGCTGCTGGAACAGGGACAGTTGTAGCTACAGGGAGGAAGATCTGGGGCAAGGGAATATCCAGGCTTGGGGTGAAGGTATGTGAGGCCTGGGGTGAGGGACAAAAGGCCTGAAAGGGTGGAAATCAAGTCCAAGGAAGCTCCTCATGCAGAGCTAGTCACTGCCTCAAGAAAGGAATAAAAGGTTAGCAAAGTGATAGGAGTAAAGTCGGATTACCCATGGCCCTCTTTTAATGATGACAAGAGGAGAGAGTAGCAACTTTTGGATGTGCATCCATGTGCAGGAGGCCAGAGGTGCTGAGTCCAATGGAACTGAAGCCACTGCAGAGGATAACCCACCCTGGCACTGGTGGGAGAGGGGACCCTAGAGATCAGCACAGCCCTGTCTCCAGTCTGGTATCCAGCCTTTTTGCTCCCTGTGAAGCAAATCTCACTGACTAGGTGCTGTTAAACCAACACACAAATTTAGCAAGTAAATCTGGAGGATTCAGCCTTCCCCAGCTCAGCCATCCGTAGCACAGCATTTGCCAGCTTGCAGCTGTCCATCAACGCCCATTGTGGCATTACAGCTGATTTCACAACATTTTTCTTGCTGACTGAGCCCTTACTCTGATCTGCAAAACCAACCCAACGTCAGGCAGATGCTGCTGGTGAAATTCTGGAGTGAGCTGAGTTCAAACTGCCATTGATACCAGTGCAGACAAAATGTCCCTGCAGGGACAGAAAATGTGGTTTTGAAGTGCTGGGAGCAGTTTGAGTCAGATGGCAGGACCAAAGCTATTGCAGAGATAATAAATCAGGACCATTCCCAACACTATGAGAATCAGAACTTTTCAAACCATCCTTCACACACTCTATTTTGTCTTTTTTTGTACATTTCTGTAATGTATCATACTCACAGCTTGCTTCCTCTAACTCCATTGTCCTCATGTAAGATGTGCAGATCATATTAATGCTTTCCAAAGACATGCCAACCTTTTGCTCTGATTTCCTGCTTGGTCACCCAGATAAGAGGTTTTCAGTACTGACCCAGTGTCCCTGCCATTCACAGAGTCAGTACCTTTTCCTACAGACATCAGATTTTCCAGTCTTACTATTCCCCTTTCATTAGCACACGGGGATGAGTGTAACCTTCTGCCTTGGATTTATTCTGTACTTTATTCTGCAACACAAAAAGGTTTATCCACAGAGTTGTTCCTTCTGGAAAATTGCATGGACTGGCAGTAAAATGATGTAGCAGTAGCAACACACCCCCTTCCAACACACACCTACTGCACAATGCTGTCGGTCCCTGACACTCAGATCCATCCTGAGGAGTGAAAGAGTGGGAGAGACACAGCCCTGAGCCCCTCATTTCTATTCCCCATGGCCTCTTTACATGAGCTGTCCCTAAGAGGGGCAAAGCCAGTGGAACTGAGTCCTTCCTGAGACCATTGGGATCTCCATAACGGGCCTGGTTGTGGATGGAGGAGCCCAGGTGTGTTGTGCTCTTACTGGTTTTCACCCTTCCATTTCTGTATATGTGGGAGCAGCCTTTGTTTCTGTTAAAGGTGCTACTTCTATATTCTCTTTTCCAGGGCTGAGGAGGAGAGGGCTGAGGCTGGGGACCTGAGGTTACAGTGCCTCCATAGCTGCTCCCCAAATAGTAAGTGACCATGGCTCGAGTGTGTCCGATACACAGTGGCTTGTCCTGTCCCCACGCTGGCTCCCTGGGGCTCAGGATGAGGCTTGGATTAGGAAGCTGGGGAAACAGAGGTTTGTTACTCTCCCAGACAGCATTGCCCAAGTGATAATCAACCAGCTCATGAACAGTGCAAAATCCTCCACCGTTCAATTTAGGATGTGCACATATCCTATAATTTTGTGTTATCTCAAGAAGCTGTGACTTCATAGTAGTTTAAAAATATGCTCTAATTTACACCTGTATAACTTTCATTATCACTACCTTTTTTCATCTATATTTATCACCAATTCATGATGATGCATGCTATTGAATATAAAAATGATTGAAAGCAGCTTTGGTAGACAATAACTTAGTATAATTAATGCCATTTCTTGCAGTTTCTCAGAAAATTGCTATGCTTTCATTCAGCCTTTGCAAAAGCTCTTGCTTTAAACTATGGGAATCAGTGGTTCAATGTACAGAGCAATGTTGGAGCACGGCTCCTGCCCTGCTCTGAATACTATACTTTTTCTTTACTCTCCAGGAAAGATGTGTGCAGTTTCATGCATCTATTTCCTTGGAAAGAAAGCAAGTGATCCTTCACTCAGCGGGAGGGAGACTTGGGACAGTGACTTGCTGACTCTGCGCTCTTAAAATTTGGAAAACCTCCTGGCATTTTGCTGCCTCTGTCTTGCTGAGATGCACATCTCAGCCACGTACTCGTGGAAGCTTGGTGTCTGTCACCCTAATCACTGAGGGTCCTGATCCCTCCCCCAGACCTGCTGGAACTGCTCTCCAGTCCCATGTCACTGCAGGTGGTCTCCCCACAGGCATGATAGTGCTGGCACTGCTCTCCAGCTCGGTTTGTCATCAGCTCACTTGGTAACTCCTGCTCCTTGAAAATGCCATGTCAGTTATGGACTTTTCCACAGGCAGGAGATCCACATCCCTCATTTTCACAGGCCTGAACATGCCTATTGGTACAAAATTGATCTGGGTCATGTTTCCTGAGAAAATTCCCCACCTGCCAAGCTCCTGGCAGGTGCTCAAGTGTGCTTTTTTATTACTGAAGCCTGTCCAAAGGTCTTTATTTCAAAGAACAAATAACAAGTCTTGACATTAGGTGTTCCAAGGAATAGGAACAAGGCTCTTGTTGGTCCTACACCCAGCCCTGCCCCAGAGCTTCAATTCTAAAGGACACAGAGCTTTACCCCCACAGTGCTGACAGCGCTGGGAAAGCAAACTGCAAAGGAGAAACCCAGTGTCAGGGTAAAGAACAGTGGCCATTCTTCAGTATTCCATCAGTCTCAGCTTCACATCTGTTACCCACTGTAACGAAATCAGATCAATATTAATGAAGTGACAGGAGTGAAGTTCTGCTCTCAGTTCACAGTTTACTTACGAATCCAATATAAGCCGCAGGATCTTCATTATTCATGCTTATTAGGGAGGAAAAAACATTAATTGCTGCTGCTCTGGATGGCACAAATCCTCACAACTCTCAGAAGAACGTCTCCTTCCTTGAACAAGTCCATCAAGCCTGCATTGACCCAAGGACTCTCCTTGATGCTGTTTCTGGCTTCACACACTCCCACTCTGTCACATCAGCCATGCAATGGGCTCGTGGCCAGCAGAGCATTGGTAAGAGCAAGAGAATGATGTGAGAAGCACTTGGCTAAAGGCAGGGCAGCCCCAGAGGTTCCCCTGGCTCCCCTGGGTACCTGGGGTCTGCTTGGATGGAAGAAGGGGACACTCAGAACAGACCAAGTCCTCACCACTGCTTGGTCACGTCAGCACCCACGTGCCACTAACAGAGCAAACACCAGCAGATCACTCTGAGCACTTTATGAACACTTCCCAGAGAGGTGATCCTGAGCCACTGGGACACCAGGATGCACCACCTGAAGTTATTCCTGCTGCTCACTTCAACCAGCGTTTCATTCCCTGGAGGACTTGCCAGCTGCCCTCACTTAGAAGTGCCCTGAGGATGTTCTGGCTGGAACCAAATGGCAGATAAGAAATATTTGCTCGTGCTCAAACATCATGACTCTTTCTGTCCTCCCACAAAGACAAACCAGGGCATCTGTCCTTGTTGAGAGGCAAGGATTTGGGGGAGTGTCGCTGAGGAGTGAAGGAGTAAAACCTTTACAGAAAAGAACACGACTGAGTGACCATAGAAGACAAATGCCATCACAGCCAGGTGATTTTGGAAGAGACAATATTAAAGTTTTTGAGCAGCCCAGGAGCACTGTGGGAGCACAGGTAGCATGAAGGGCCTTATGCCAGGGCAGGATATCAGGTTCCTCTGTTGGCAAGACTAAGCTCTCTGTTTTGAGAAGTGACCTTAAATTATAAATCTTATCGGAATCATCATCCCAGGGGAGTCTTGAACAGGACTTGAACTATCCAGTCTTGATATTTCTATATTAAGCCATTTAATGTCCATCACTAAACTATAATTTTCCTTTACCAAGGTTAAAAAAAATATTTTATTTCCTTTAAACCCCTTTGACAGGGTTTAAACTTGCCTGAGCTGGGCTAAGAACAGCACCAGGGAGCTCTAGGTATAACTTGGCATCCTCTGCTCTCACCAAGCCACCTTCCTGAGCAAACATATGGCACTGGCCCCTATACATCTGATATCCTTGGTCATGATTTCCTCATACTAAATTTAGCATTTCCACTGCAAAGCCCTAAACACTCCTAAAGTCTGTTTGCTGTCATTTTGATGTTTCAACTGTTTCCTTCAGATGTGCAGGGCTGGGAGATCTCAATGATCCAGCTGTGAACAGTCACCACACAAAAGCGAGAGAAGGAGAAATTTCACATCAGGATTTTTTTTGTTGTCGCACAGTTATTTATTGCCAAGAAATGCTCACTGTTCTTAGGCTCCAGACAGCAGCAGTACCTGATTTCAGACATCTGTATGTCCACGCCACTTCCACCCCCTCCTCCAGTGTTGTCCCACTATGAGGCATTAACAGGATGAGCCTGGAACCCACAGTGCAGATGGGAGAGGTGCAGATGGTGGATGTAGAACAAGGGGCAAGAGAGAGGCAGGAGAAATGTCACAAAGGACAAGGAGGGACAGGTGTGGTGGCAAAGCCAAAGAAGAGACAGGTAGTCCAGAGGAGCCAAGAGCTGAGCAGGAAACAGCATATTCCTACTGTCTGTGGCTAAAAGCCTTGGTGTTATCTGAGGCAGATAAACCCAGGGTTCAGGACACCAGCCTCTCTTGTAGAAAAGTGAAAGATTATTCAAAATTAATTCAGTGTCAAAAAAATAATATAGTCACTGTTTTGGCAGCGTGGGCATTTTAGGAGGGTCACCTGACAAAGAGGAGGCCTTGAAAAAGATAGTTTTATTCTCGTATCATCACCCTGTAGGCATTTCCCCTGGGTCCATCCCACAGCTCCTCTACCATCCTCCCACCCCGACTGTCTACAGCAAGATTTATGCAACCAGCCCCTCAGAGCTTCACTCTAGAGCATAGTGTAATTTTTTTCCTATTCAGACAAGTTCACCAGAAGAGCTCCAGACTTAAAACATGGTGGAAATGATTCATAAAAAAAAAGAATATCCACCGGTTGGATTTTTTTATTTTTTTTTTTATAATCGCTGGTCGCGAAGCGCCACAGAAGGAAAGTAGTGCTGGATGTGCAGGCAAGTTCCAAATGTCTCCAAATTCAGTCTGTTGCACAAGCTCAGCTGGAGAGGGCAAGGCACAGACGGCAGCCAAGGTCACTGTGACAACGGGGAACATGCTTGATATGCTGAGCAGCGCCGGGCTGGGAGGCGCAGACAACAAGGGCCTGACGCATTTGAAGTGTCGCTCAAAGTTGAGCCAAGGTTTCTCCTTGTGGAGGTACCTGACAGCTGCAACCGCTGCCTCTTTGATGTCAGCGCTGATTTCAACCCCAGGACTTGCGATTCTTTCCCGTAATTTATTCCCTCCGTGGCGATTCGCCTTCATAAAAACAGGTGGGGAAAAATCCCCCCCCGACGGAGCGCCATGGTTACGGATCCGCCATCCAGCCTGGCTGTGCTGGCAGCCACGGGAATCTCGGTCCTGTCCTCAGGCAAGCTCTTGCCCACCAGGAAATTCCAAATCAAAGGTCTCAGTTCTCTCCTCGTTTACCTCTGCTAACATCCAGACTGACATTTTCCTTTAACGTGGCTTCTTAAGCCACCAGCTCCTCTTTTTCCAGAAAAAGCATGTTGATAAAAGTAAATTCAGTCCCACGTTTAGCACGGCAGCCCATGAAAATTAAAGGGTGGAAAAGGAAAGCAAAATAAGCTGATAGTTTATAATACTTTTTTGTTTCCTCTAGTGCACAGGTGAATTGGAAAGGTTTCTTACATAAATTTCAGTGGGATTAGTTATGAAACGTGCTTTCTGTCACTCTCTGAAATTGCATCTTTCAATAAACGTTTCATCTCCTACAGCTAATCCTGGATTTATGCAAAAAAACTCCCCAAACCAACCTCCCCCCCCTTCCAAAAGTCCACCTGTCCCACACAGCTGGAGATGTGCAATGAAGTATTTCAGACTGTATATGCACCCAAATAGCCTTTCTCTTTCCTGTGCATATTATATTTCTCCCCCAAGAATGTGGGCAGGAATTGTTGCTCAGTTCACTTTCAGGTAGTTTTACATTGTGAGATATTTGAGGACAAATATATGTATCTTAAACGAAAAAAAATGTTACAACATGCATTTTTGGTTTAATTGCCTAAAAATGGGGTTTGCTCTTGTCAGAATAAAATCCCTGTGCTTTGCTACAGCAAAATAGGTTTTCCTGAATTTGGTGTTTTGTAGTGAATGCCCGAGATTCAGCTCTGATTTAAATAACCAGTAATTTTGTGTTGTCTCTGCCAGGAAACCAGTCTTTGCACTCCTCTTGGTCCTAGAGCAGCCAAATCCCAACTTTCTGAACACCACACAGCATGACCCAACATGGCCCCATCATTCCCTGCTTTCAGGAGAGACTGAGGAACAGCAGCTGAGTTTCCAAAGGCGACAGAGCACAGATGTCCAGCTCCAGGCTGCCCTCAGTCCCACTGCCTGCTCTTCCAAAGCCTGAGCTACTGATTCCCCCTTATGCAAGGAAGGGGCAGCAATTCCTCTGAGCCAAATAACACTGTTTTTCCTTTAAAAACCCTTTTATTTATGAGGGACTCTCCTGCAACAGGCCTTATAAAGTCAGTATGGAATGGGACAGCCCAGAGGCTCCTGTGGAAGAGGATGGTGAGATGGAACTCAGAGGGTAGAAAAGTGAAAGAAGGAAGAGAAATTGTGGGGGAAATAACATGTTTTCATGGTTAGGCAGAATCACAGACTACATAGTGAGGACAGGGCCCCCAAAAGGGCTCCCAGCATGTCCAGGCTGGATCAGGCTGCTTCTTTCCTTGTCCAGTTGAGTTTTGAACACTTCCAAGGATGGAGATCCCAATACATCTCTTGGCCTCTGTCCCAGTGTTTCTCACCTAGGGTGAAAAAGTTTTTCCTCATATCCAGGTGGCAATCCTGGCCTTCCAGCCCTGTTCAGCCAGTGGATAAAGGCAAGGTACTCCCAGGGACAGGTGCTTCCTCTGACATTTGTATTTGTTTTCTCTCCTGCCCTTTTTAGAACTCATTTTATGATTCTTTTTTGGCTTTGTTTTTATGCAGTAGCTCTGTTGCTGCCTGGTTTTCCAATTATAAAACCTCTAAATTTGATTTAAACCTGATAATTAAGCCGTGACTTAGCACATTAACCCTATTGAAGCCCAGAGGTGTGAGACATGCTCTTTAGGACCTTAAAATTTGGTGTTTAATTGCATCCAACCCTGAGAAAGGTGCAGGGAGGTGAGAAGTGACTGTGGCACTAATTCAGGCCACAGGTGCTAACAGGACAGGACTTCATGCTTTAGATCTCATCTGTCCCATCCAGACCAGGATTTTCTGCTGTCTTCCACCACAAGAGAAATAGGAATATAGCAGATGCACAAGAAGACTCAGTTGGTCACTGGCATCACTACAAAAGTTTGTCATGTCCTTTGGCTGTTAGAAATCTCAGATCATGATCTGCACAGTGGGTGTCTTTGTGTTCCCCTTCAAGGTCAGGGCATTTCTGGCTGCATCCTCTACCTACCAGGACAGTTCCAGGTCACAGGGGCACATCTTCCTCTCTTGCCATCTAAATGGATAAACTCAAAATTTAGCCATAGGAAAAAAATAAAAAAGCCTTGGGATCTCTCTCTTGTTTGGAAGCAGCCAAGAGAAGACCACAGGAAACAATATCCAGGAGGGGTAGTCTGGCATCCCATGCAGTTGTCATTTCCAGCCACCTAAAGCAGCTGGTCAGCCCTGGACACAGTTTACAGCTTAGTGGGGAGAAAGAAAACTGCTTAACACAGCAAGAAATGTCTTATGTCACCACAGGAACAGTGACATCATTCTGTGCTGCCCTTCTCTTTCTCCCTTGCCTGTTTATTCATCCCTTAATTCACTGGATACCACACAGAGCTCCCAGGAGACTAAAGCCTGTGGGTCAATGGCAGGAAGTCAGGTCTTCACCCTTGGCAGGGGTGGCCAAGGGCAGGTGCTGTGGCAGCCTGCAAGCCAGGTTTTAGCCTTTTGTGTTCTCCCAGTCAGTATGTCAGTAGCTTTCTCCCCTTCCTGTCCTTCCCCAGCCCCAAATCCTTGATTCTTGTGGAGCTGTGTGACTTTTGGGAAGCAGAATGTGGATGTTCCAGTGATTATCACACTGATGATAGCTGATAAGGGCTCAGTGAGCACCAGGGAGAAACTGGTCCTGAATTTATGTGCCTTATTCTCAAACATTTTGCTCTTGGTCGTGAGAAGCAGAGGGTTTTATGCAGACCGGAGAGGCAAATCAGCCTATGGGGAAATGCAGTTATGGGAAACAGGCTTAAAACTGCCCCAAAATAGGCCTAAAACTGTCTTATAAGCCTTTAGCCCAGACCAGAGGAAAAAGTGTGTGTTTGTCTTTCTTTAGGGCTTCACAACACCCAGCTCTAAGTGTCACTAGCCCGCAGAGGAACAGGAGTGACCATAATGCTCAGAAAATACCCCCATTCGCTACGTCAAGCTCTTCCAGCGACACATCAAGCAGCTCTTCACTTTCATCAGAACCAACCAGCCAGATCTCCATGGGTCAGGATCAAACCCTGCTGGACATCACCTCCATCACTAGATTGGCCCCAGGAGAATCACCAAACCCTCAACCACTCGAGCAAAGAGAGACAAATTTAGCAATATCGTGTTCCAGCCCACTCGGAGCAAGGACTATTCCAGCGTCTTGCCCAGCCAGCCTCAGGCTCAGTCTAACACCCAGCTCAGCCACACCACAGCAATACTCTGACTCCTCTCCAGTCAGCCCAGGGATCAATGCAGCTTCCTTCTATACCTTCTGTCCTCACACAGCACAAAATGAACAAGCTTCAGCTTCAGATCACACACTGACCCCAACCAGGACAAGCACAAGGCCTCCAGCAACAAGGACTCCTGAAGAGAGTTCCCAGGCTCCTGGCTATTCTAAAACTGACTTAAAGAATACAGGAAAGGGGTTTGAATCAGATCTGGAAGATCCTGATCGTGAAAGGTATGTATCTAGACCATACAAGTGTCTAAGTCCTCAAATGACCCACTTGGGTTTAGTGTCATTAAGAGCCCCTCATAAAGAAAGTTAAATATATTTTATGCTTTAGATGTTTCCAGTGTTTGTTTTCCGGTAACTACCCTGTGCTCCCACTAAACCCTGTTATCCAAGAAGCAAAATACTCTGTTTGCTATACACCCATTTATTTCTCCAGACCTGATGACAGACCACCCCTGGGCCAGGTCATCAACCTCAGCTCCTTCAACAGGGCACAGTTTTAAGGTGCCTCCTTTCCTTCCAAAACAACACAGCACATCTCTCCCTTGTACCAGCAGAGAGAAACTCTGCTGCCCCTGTGGAGCCCGACAGATCAGAGCTGGGGATGGTGCTCAGCGACACGGCCGGGATCTCCCTCCCAAACCTGCAGCTCTGCTCCAAACCCAGGCAGGCTGGGCTGGGTTCACCCCTCCGGGCCTCTGAACTCCACCCTGTCTCTGCAACTTCTTTCCTTGGCAGGAGATTTGTGACCGCAAAGGAGTTCCAAGCCATGGAGAAAGAACTAGAGGATGTGAAGGAAGACCTGAAATGCCTGAAGTGGAAGGTGAGGCACATCGGGGAGACGGTGCAGCCCCTGGCCGAGGACAGCAAGAGGTACAACGGCTACACCCTGACGGAGCTCAAGGCCATGGTGCAGTTCGAGGATGACCCCTACAAGGCCGCCCACAAGATCCTCACCGCGCTCTTCAGCGATGTCTACAGGCCACAGCACCCCCCCACCGAACAGCCCTGCAACTCCCGGGCTCTGCCCAGGCCCAAAATAGACCCAGAGCTGTACATGGTGTACTGTGACATTCTGAAAAGCATATTCCCTGGAATTAGCAGCCAGACCTTGAGGGAAGAGACGCAACACGGGCAGAAAGGCGCCCAGAAAGCAGTGCAATAACAGCAGAGCCCGCAGAGGTTGTGCTGAGTGAGAGGTCTCTGGTGGTTTGAGGACTGAACTGTGGTAGGTACCAGTGGTTGAGTCTGTCCCTTCCAGGTATGGATCGTCTGTAAAGATGTTGGTGAGCTCTGAGCCCTCATGCCACTTGCCCAATGAGACAGAGTGGGAAGGCATCCTGCACACTTCCCACATTTTAGAAAACAATTGCTCCTTTAGTGTCTCTTTCAATCTATGGACGTTTCCTTGTTTCCAGCAACCACAAATGCCAACAAAAGAATCCCAAGAACGCGTTGTACGTCCGAGCAAGGGCCTTCTCCCAGCCCCAAACAGACCAACCAACCAGCATCTGGGTAGTTTCTATTTTCTAGAGTGTATCATTCATTAAATGACATTACTTGTTAGAAAATCGTGCCTGCTCCTTTTTATTTGTTTGTCTAAAAGTGCTTTGTATATCAAAACAATCAGCATCTGGAAATAGTCCACATATATAATAATATATGATATAATATATAATAATATAATAATTCCAAGAACTGGAGTGAGATCTGGGCATTGCAAACCACCCTCCTCTGCCCACCTGCATCCTGGGTTACACGGGCAGGCACCCAGGGCAAGGCAGTGAGCAGCTGGGGTGACCCCAAGCAGGTCCCCTGTCAGGTAATGGGGCCAGGGCACAAGACTGTGTGATGTTCCCCTAAAACACCAACCCAGCAGTGAGACAGGTAAAGGTCTGTGACCTCCAGCTCTCCCAGTCCGTGGTGACTGGGCTGACACACCAGCTCAGAGGTGTTCACAGCTGTGCTTTGCCTTCCCACGACATCGACGCTGAAAGGCCGCGGCCCCTTGCCGGGGTCTCACAAGGTGATCCCAGCTGTGGAGCCTGCTGGTCATGGAGGACACACAGGAAAACGGCCCTGGAGCTCCTTCCTCCCCATCTGGGAACCAGGAAAGTACAATGGATGAATAACAGTTTGTCCCCCAGGTTCTGCTCACGGGGATGGCCTTGTGGTCTGTTCTGTAAAGATCTGGTGAGGGTGGAGGGGTGGAGGGATGTCCTTGAGCCACTCTGCTCAGTACCAATGGCAGCCAATGCTCCTTGCCCCACTGGCTCACCCACTCCCTTCCAGAGTCCTTGGCACTTTTTGGAAACAGTCACTTCCCCACTATCAGTGCGACAAAGCCATCAAAACTCAGGACACGTCTGTCCTGCGCACGGCTTCTGCTCCCTGCCAGGCCATGGGGATGGCAAAAGGTAACCTGTGAGTTCAGCCCCCCTTTCCCTCTGCTATAATCCACTTCTTAAGCTTATTTCAAAAATAACAGGGAGGAGGAATAAAAAACCAATTACAACAAAACCCCAAAAGCAGATCATTCCCTGTGCCACCACAGCTCCAGACACCTTGGGCAATGGGAGGGGGCAGCACAGTCCAAGGACATGCTCTGAACCTGCTGGGCACATCTCCACAGGGACACTGACTGTTGTAGGAGAGCCCCTACCTGCCTTTCAGCACGATGGTCTCTGCTGAGCTTACAAATGTGTCGTTTTAAGCTCCCTGTTATTAGCAATTTATTTTACTTACGAGCTGCTGTGCAGACACAGCCCCAGCCCTGCCCACACAGCCCCTCTGTGCCACACTGCAGCCACGACCTGCAGCCACACCTGGCAAATTCCCAGGTGCCCACAGGGACACCCAGGGCTGTGCACAGGGTGTGCCCTCAGGGGGGTCACAGCACCGAGGTGAGGGACAGGGAGAAGGCTGCCCTCCCTCCCACCTTCACCGGGGGCACAGAGGGGAGTGCGGGATGGTCACAGTTGCTGGACACGCAGTATCCCCTCAGAGCAAATCACCCCCCCCCAGGGAGCACCGTGGTGGAGCACCACAAATCATCCTGAAGGCTCTGTGCACCACAGAGGGGATGTTTGAGTCTCACACGAGCACCCCCTGCATCCTGTTCCGCCTTCATGGCTCTCGTAGGAAAACATGTCCCCTTGGTTCACGTGGATGGTTGACCCTCCTCCCACAGAGCTCACACAGTTACTGCTCCAGACTAATTTTCCCGTGGCAGATCAGATCCCCAGCTCTCTCAGAGGTCTCTCTTCAGAGCTTTCCATAACTTCCACAGAACCGACAAAAACACAATTTAGGGATTAGCAATATCAATCTTCACATGTTGCATTGCCTGCCCTCTCTGCCTGCAAAATCTGAATACATTTGTAAGAACGGGCTCTGTGGCTTCTCCTGTTCATGAGGCCTGACAATGTGATCAGATTATCACTTTTAGCCTTGTTCTCCTCAAGCCTCAGACCCAGCACAAGTCTATGAATTATTTTTATTAGTCTTACGTCATCAAGGCTGGTTCTGTCAAAGAGTGTCAGTTCTGGGTCCCTTTCAGGTTGCAGAGTCTCCTTCTTCTGGGTCAGTTGTGATATGAATCACCTCTACCCACTTTACAGATGTGCATTTTATCCTGATAGTCCCAGCTTTTAGCTATTCCAGTGGAACTTCCAGGTTATTTGCATCCAACCAGAGCTGGTCAGTCTTGCCAGACCTTCTATATAAGACCTTCTATAAGTAGGCACCTGCACCTTCTGAGCCCTACAGTGTGTCCCCAGTGCCTTCCCAGCCACAGCAGCCCACGTGCTCAGCTGTGAGGAAACTGGGAAAAGAGCAGCAGGACAAGCCCCCTCCATCTGTCCTTTACAGACTCTTCACTTCCCCCTTTTCCTCTGCTGCATTTGTACCTTGGAGGCTGCTTTGCCTCTGTGAAGATGTCTCAGCCTTCAGTTCCTGCATTATCTGCACCTTTGTGACCATTCCCAGTACTTGAGGCACCTTCCCTCATTTTTACACAGGTAGAAAAATCCACTGATTTTCTCCTGATTTTCCCGAGTGCTTCTCTTTGTTGGTGTTCCTGCACATCACCAAATCCTCTCATCCTTTACAAGCCTCAGCTTTCCTTGCTGGTTTTGCTTCCCTAGGTTTGCTGGGGAGAGAAACACAGCTGCCTGCCCACAACTCCCAAGAGATTTTCTGTGTCCAGTCTATTTTTTCTGTAGTCACCCACTCCTCACACAACAGGAGGGCGAGGGCTGGCCGCCCACACCCGCAGGAAGAGCCCTTCTCGTCGCAGGGTACAAAACTGAGTCAGCACAGCCAAAGTAAGACAGCAGTGTCTTAAATACATGGGCCTGAAAGCAAGTTTTTGAGTTCATTTTTAGCATCCTGTACTTGCCAGAAGTGTCCTGTAACAAGCTTGCTCTGTCTCAAGGCTCCGGGTCTTGCTGCCTGGTATTCAGAGAGAAAGGCAATTACACAGCCCCATTATTGTGACAGTTAAAGGGATTCAGCCATTGTTCCTCTTGGACAATTCTCACTGATTTGCACTGTGCCTCCATGGCTCCTTAGCATAAATAAGCCTTCTCTCCAAAATGTTATCACCTCCACTTGCACAGAGACAGGAGGAGCAGGCAATCAGACACACAGTGAAAAATTAGTCTTTAAATTCGTGTAGCATTCCATCTATTCTTCGTTAAAGTATATATTTTTTCCCT